CTTGGTGACCTTTGATTGACACGCTAATGGTGGCCAATTGATTGCCGAGACTTGGTGATCTTTGATTGACATGCAAATGGTGACACCAATCGATTAAAGCTTAGTGGTTGAATCTGGTTAGATTTGTGCCAAACTCTGAAGCTAGGAACAATCTCAAGGGAAGGTTTTTTTTCTTCCCTTTACGAGCTACACACACGGAAGGGATTTATTTTTTCAATAAGCACTAGACAACGATGGACTCAAACCCGAACACTACACTTACTAAAATAACACCTTATCTACTAAAATCTATTCACTTTTTCAACAATAAAACCTTTTCTTTAATTGAATTATTTTTCTTATAAAAAATATTATAAATACTTTTCATACTAATTGATGTGCCGTACAATAATCACTACAACAAAATTAGATTTTTACGGCTTCACATCAACGACATACAGTAAATGCAAGCTGTGGTTTTTCACTTTTACAACTTGCTCTTTTTGCATGTCGTAAATAATTTCCCAACCATGACGTGCCTATTGCGTAAGTCGTGAATGCTAATAACGATAATTTTTTAACAGCTTGCAATGTTAGCTGTAAATAAAAAGACTTTCTATAATGTACATATGACATGCCGTTAATACATCAACTATACACGACACATGTACATTAGTTGTTAAAAATATTGAACATTTCACCGTGCACATAAAGCCAACCGTTAAAAATTACACTTTTCACGACGGGTGATTATTCAGTGCTCCCGGAGTATGGACACGTGGTGCTTCATAATGTTTTGATTGGTAAAGAGGCACAAGGGCCCACGATTTATGTTTGGGATGGGGGAACAACATGGGGCTAACTAATTAGTGATTGGTTTGGAGTATGGACATGTAGTGCTCCGGGAGTATTGAATAATTTCCCTTTCACAATGCACAAAAAGCTAGTCATTTAAAATATTGCACTTTCCACGACATGCAATTCTTGTTATGAAAGGTACAATAGAAAAAAAAGTAGGCCAAAATAAAAATTTCGAGCGCCAAACACCAAAAAATTAAAAAAAACGAAAAAGAAAAGAAGAAGAAACAATCAAAAGCTCTAACTCTTCAGCCCCAACATCAATTTTACACATACATACACACTATCTATTAAAACAATATGGGGAATTTGGCTTCTCGTCTCCACTTTCGAAAATTGGGAAATTTGGACTCCTTTCTCTTTTGAAAAATCTAGAGAATTTGGCTTTTCTTCTCCTCTCTTCTTCCATCACCACCGCCGGCAAGCTTGGCTTCTCATCATCACTAGCTTCTCCATAATAATTGGTATGCATTTCCTCCTGTTTCTCCCTCTCAGTAAAAACACTACAAGAATTAACACTTTTGCCGACCAAAAAATTGGTCGCTAAAAGTCCATTTTTAGTCGGCAAAAGTTATCCGCGACCAATTTTTTTAGTCGCTACTTTGGTCGCCAATTGAGGGTCGGCAAAAGTAATTTGCGACCAAAATTTTGGTTGGTTGGGAAAAGTTAGATTTGCCGAATAAATTTTTGGTCGCTAAATATATCATTACTGCGACTAATCCATTTTGTCGCTAAAACATTTTGGTCGCGAAAAGTGATATTTTGCCGACTATATATCTTAGTCGCCAATTGTCACATTCCACGACCAAAAAATTTGGTCGCCAATTATCACATTCAACGACCAAAAAGTTTGGTCGCACATTTCACGACCAAAAATTTTGGTCGCCAATTGTGACATTCTACGACCTCTTAATTTGGTCGCCAATTGTCACATTCCATGACGAAATATGTTTGTCACCGAAAGAAATGTTTTCGCAACTAAAACTTTAGTCAACAATAGACCTATTCGCGACCAAATCCTTTGGTTGCCAAAATAAATAATTTTAACGACTAATTATTTAGTCGCCAAATGTGCTTGGTGATACACCGACTACTTTATTTAGTCGGCAAAAGTATAACTTATCTTTCCCGACTAATCAATTGGTCGCCAAAACTAGAAAAACAAAACCAAATTTTGGTCGCCAACATCCAACAAAATAAATCTGTAATTTATAATAATCCATCCAATTTATTCAATATAATCTGTAATTTTCAAAAATCATTCAAACCAACAAATAAATTGAATCATGAACATTCAACCAAATACATATATCAACCATTTCTGAACCTGTTTAATTAAAATTAGCAATTATTATAAGTTTTCATCCACAAATAATTCCAAACTATATATTTCATGTAGCATAAAAATTTAAAACATAACAAGTACTTGTTATTATGTTTTAAATTTTTATCCATGTACATCAACTGAAAAATATAACTAGTAGTCTACCAAATATTTTCTATACACACTCATCCAAAAATATAACTACTAGTCTACCCTAATATTTTCCATATATATCTATACAAAATTATATAATCCTTCAAAAAATGCATAAAGTGCCAATTTGTCTTGTGCAATTTAGCTTTGTGCACGAGTTCATCCATTTGTACCAAAGAAAAAGTGAAATAATGTCAGGTAAAATTGGACAAATAATGAAAAATGTCGATGAAAAGCAAAGGTCACATTAGCAAATTAAATGACTATCATTATCAAATTGTAAATAAAACAATATCATTCTTATAATTGTGATTGTAAATAAAACAAGTGTGTACTCAAATTGTAAATAAATAGCATTCTTATAATTGTAAAACAATAGCGTTCTTATAATTGTGATATAGGGGTGCTATTGTTTTATTTAGGCTGTATATTCTTTCTATTCTCACTTTAGCCGTGCTAGTCGCACAGAGGTATTTTCATATAATAGATTATTAAACAGGCACAAGGTGATCCACATGCGTTTATTCCTTGTGTTTGTTCTATGAAAAATAAGTCTTTAGTGATTTATTTATTTATTTTTTTTTTTCAGTCTTTAGTGATAATTGTGAAAATTCTGGTCGAGAGATTTTTGTTTCTTTTTTTTCTTTTTTTTTGAACTATTAAAAAGATTGGTACTAGGTAAATGTGTCAAAACACAAACACATTATTATTGTTATTATTATTATAAATGCCTAGGCCAAAAGCACCGCCTCAAGTAAAATCTTCTAGAGCCAGTTGACCAAAATGAGGGATTCCAAATTGCTTGAACAATACGCCTCACATGTAAAGGTTTTTGGACCACCACTTTATGCATTATGTCAAAAGTTAAGTGTGTATTCAATATTTTCCTTCCTAAATACACATTAATGTGTACTAATTGGGTGGCGTTGTTAATCGCCTAAAGTGAGAAGCAAAAATATTCTTACAAAGATGTTTCTCAGTATATCATCACGACTATTGAAGTCATGTGTAGTAGCAATACCATACCAAATACGACGATTAGTGGGATCTTGGGCTAAGTCTTGACTAAACCTTAAAAATCTTAATGCCACAATGCTTTTCAAATCCTCTTAGCCATTTTCTTACTACAATAATTCTTGCTAAGAAGAATGCACATGTTGTGGCAATTTCACCAAAAAGATATATAGTTACTCCTACAACACATCCATGTACAATGCTCGAGGATCTATGCTCTATATCATAAGCAGCTTCAAATTTATTATGAACCCAAATGATGGATTCAATAACTTAATGCCAATAACAAAGTCTGCTAACTATAAATATTAACTAAAAAGCCTTTGCAAATGACCGTCTAGGAAAAAAGGCTATATGCAGATAAATGAATAAAAAATTGATGTCACTTGCACATGACACCTCAAATATTATAGAAAGCCTAAAATGGCCTAAAAGGGGGAGATATGAATAAAGTCATTTGAAAACATTTTACAACATTCAATTTTTCATCTATTTTATGTAACAAATAATTAAAAGAAGGTTCACATTGACACAAAATTAATATTTCAAAGTAGCAAAGTAGAGTATTTTTTAGTTGAGAAAAATAAAGTGATACCAAATGATAGTTCAAACGGATTTCAAAGGGATAAAGTGTATTTTTTTTTTTTTGGCACAACTTGATAAATAAACAAACTTTATTAAGAAATCATCAAGATAATGCAAAGAATACAAAAAGACATCCCCAAATTGGGGAGAAAAAACAAGCCCTAACCAATCACAAACATGTCTAGGATAAAGTGTAATTTAACCTAATATTATTACTACCGAGTAAGTTTTAGATTCTATTATTCATTTACACCTTTTAAGAGATTGACTTATTTGACAATAATTAACAAATTATGTTCATAGAAACATTAATATTTTGGTTGTTCTTCACTTGTGCTTTTGTGTTAATGACTTTGATGCCCGTGTCGGACAAAAAGCTTATATTTCAGTAGTTTGACTAACCACACAAACCATGTTAAAACTATATGGACTTATAAACCCATGAATCATGAAGAACATCTGAAAATGTCCTAACTGCAATCATATGTACACAAAGATGGTTTTCTTGAGTACCTTTGCAACAGGTCACAATGGCAACACCCATGATCAGAGATATATATATATTTAAGCTTTAAAAAACTAAACCATCATCAACAACTGGATCTAAGAAATTGGGTTACTATAGAGGGCACCTAAGGTTTAATGGCTCTGAGAACTGTATGATTTAAGAAACTAATACACAGTCACACTCAAATCCCAATTGCTTGAAGTTGGTTTTGGATACAAATGATCTTTGATTTTAAAAGGTAATAAATAAATAACCACCAACGACTGCATAGATGTGCCCTGAAATCCTTCCCACTTCAATTTAAACTCTATATATGGATAGTACTCTGTCCCAGCTATTCTACACACATTGCAGACTAACTAAATAAATCCATTTCAATTAGTATATTGTCATATGTCACACCACACCAGTATGCATGACAATTCTCTTGCAAAGTGCTTAAACATCACCTCATTTTTTTTAATTAAAGAAAATTTAATTAAAAAAAAATGAGGTGATCTTGAACATGTGCTTATGATCAGATGCAGAATGAAGGGAATTCTTACAAAGTTGTAATTTTCTCTTTTGTTGTAAAATTGGGAGAAGAATTATTAAAGACGACATACCTTTTCATGGAGAGCCGTGACAGCTTTCATCATTAGCTGTGACTGCACATAATTAATGTTCGGTAAGCATCATCATCAATATACTTATTGATAATCAGGTTGTGTTGCCTTCTCAGTTTGTTAGTTTCATGTGAATTTGAAATTTAATTCAGTACACATTTTAGAATCATGCTTATAATATCAACATATAGGCTATAACAATAAGAATGAGTGACAATTGATACCTGGAAAGATGACACTAATCTTAGGAATGATAAGACACTCAATTTGTTTCATTCTTCCAAGAATTGAGCATTGAATTCTGTTTTTAGCTTCAAGCCTTCTTTCCTAGTTTTACTCTACATTTACCATATCACTACATAATCAACCCAATTTCAAAATTTAAAAGAATTCAACCTCAATCATAACAGGTGTCTACAAGCATAATTGCTTAGTGAACCTTTGTATTGCTTGTCTTTTTCTTTTTTTCCCCCATCTTTTTAACATGTGGAAATAGCACACCCCCATACCAAGAGCCAAATAACTTAAATAACTTAAAGTCCATACACATCACACAAAAAAGGCCTAACTCGTAAGTTGTACCAATTGTCTTACATAGGTTAAGAAGGGTGTCGGCATTCACCCTCTAGGTAGGATAAAGATACAAACACCAGGGGAGCACATTAGTAATATAAGACAACTATGACAAAGTAAACACGCATTTTGATGGACTATTACCTTCTGATCTTTAATTTGAGATAGGTAAACTAAAGATTCTGTAGATGCGTGGCCAGTCACTAATATGGACTCATGAACATCTCAGGTTGTGACATCAATCCATCATATTATAACTTTTATATTTATCTTGTTTCTTCTTCTTCTTATTCTTAAATGAAATTTTGGCATTAGTATATGATATTTAGGTGCTCATTGGGGTTGGTAGGTAGGTCTTATCTCAAAATTCAGAAGTACAGTACCTGTACAATATCAAAATTGAACTGTTGATAGTCGATTCACTGAATGCCTTTTGCTTCTCATATATCAGGTATGACAATGTTCTACTTCTCTTCATGTAATGAAATCTAATCATATTTTTATTTCTATGGGCCAAGTACTGAAAATCATCCAGGTTGTGGTTTAAAAATTAAAGATGGAAATTTAAATGGGTTAATCAAGAGGAGTATTAGAAAACTGACCTTTTTTGTTTTGGTTTGGCGGAGTATAGCATCTAATTGGTGTTGTACTTGATTGAGCTCTGCCACATCTAGCTGCTCAATCTTTTGCTCTTCAAAGTGCCTGCAAAAGTGCAAAAGAAAAACACCTTTACAAATCCATTTTAGTGAAACATGTAGATGCAAGAACATGATATCTGGCACTGTGAGTGTTACCTTTGAACCATTTGAAGTAGGTTGGTGCCTCTACTGAAATCCATATATCTCTCCGTAAGCTTCTGTTAGTGTACCAAATGAGATAAGTGAAACTAATAGTAAGATTCCCTATGCCCCATCTAACTCAAATAAAAATTTAACATATGATATCAAAGGGGTGCCTCTATAATGCTGATAAGGCAGTTATGATGCAACAAAAGTAAACTAAGGGCATGTTTGATCAGGAGGATTATAGTATAGGATTAATAATGCAAAAAAACATATAATTAGGATTACATATTTCTATATCCATTGCAAAACAAGCGTGGACAAGAGGAAATTATATATCTCACTAAACATCGAATGAAATAGTTCCAGACAAAAAAAGCTGGAGTTTGTCTGGAAAGAAATAATTGTTTTCATTTACTGTCACTTGCCTATTTACCTCTTCATTCATTTCATTTTTTATTATTTTATTTTGATTGATCAGCAACATAATAATTTTATTGATAAAGAAAAAAGGAAACAAAAACAAAAACAGAGAGAGGACAAGGTGTCCTCTTCAAGAAGACCAGCAATTACATCAAAACAAAAATCCCAACACATCACAAATTGCTTTCCAATCTCTAGAAATGAAAAAGAACGGAACCCTTTTAAATGATTGGAATGAATAGGGTTCTATTCATTCACTCTATGAATAGAACCCTGGCCCCTCTATCTTCTAGAACATGACCATTAAAAAATCTTCTTTTCTCTTTTAATTTAAGTTTTCAAAATAAGCTTATTTTTTAGTAGCCATCCTTGAAGTTGCATTCTGAATGCATTTACAGTTTGTTATAGAATTATCAACTCTAACCAAGAAAACAAAATAATCTTTGCCATTTTATTTGCACAACTTCATATCTGAATAGTGTTTAATGGCAGAAATTCAAAGCTACATCTCAATTTAATTGGCTAAAAAAATCTTTCAGAATCACACCCCTATATCTCACAGATTGAACAATCAAAGCTAAATTCAGAATCTAAAAAAAGGTCTACTCAACCACCATACATATAAATCAATAAACTTCCACAATGAAAATCATCTGATTAAAAAAAATGAACACAAACCCCATAATTCAAATTGACAATCAAACAAGAAACAAAGTGAGACCAACAATGTCAAAATTTTACACATAGAAAAAATGACACTGAACAATCGAGCACTATTGCTGCAATACAAAACATATATATATATATATACATAAACCATAAAACCATCGTAAAACCCCAAATCAATGACACTGAGCAACACAGTCATACAAAATCAACTCACATGTCGTCGATGTAGATGTGGCCTAGAAGATGAATCGAGTAGGGCCATTCATCCTGGAATGTAATCCCCAGCGTTGAAACCTAGAGCGAAAGAGAGAGAGAGAGAGAGAGAGAGAGAGAGAGAGAGAGTAAATTAGGGTTTGATAAGAAGAGAGATCAATAATAGAATAGAAGGATGGGTAGTGTATGTGCCTGGAGGATGAGGTCGTCGCAGATATCGGCGATCTTGTCGTAGGATTTGGAAGCCATTGCGTCGCTGTGGATCACTCACGACTGTTAGATCTTGGCCTTGGATTCAAATCTGATTTAGATTTCGACGATCTTCTCAGATCTGGCAGAGGCACCAGTGGAGGAGGAGGAGAAGGAGGAGGATCATCGGTGGCGGTGGGTGTTTAGGAGAGAGAGAGAGAGAGAGGCACCAGCGGAGGATAGAGGAGGATCATCGACGGCAGTGGGGATCTGCGGCGGTGGCCGTGGCGATCTGTGCCGGTGGTGGTGGTCTGCGGTGAGGTGAGGCTTGGTGGTGAAGGAGAATCTGTGTGAGAGGTTTGAACAAATGGTTGTAAACAGAGAACAGGGGTGGTGATATATATCCCACTAAAAAAACATTTCACCTTTAGCGACTAAATTTGTTTTTTGTCGCAGAATCTTAACATATAACGACTAAAATTTGGTCGGCCATTGTCTACCACTGCATTTAGATATCAAAACGACGTCGTTTTGATATCTGCGACTAAATTGTGTTAGTCGCTAAAAGACTTTACTGTTCCCGCCCAATTTTTGACCTCTTGACACCATTTTTAGCGACAAATATTTTAAATTGGTCGCAAAAAATCACCTTTTTGCAACAAAATTACTTTAGTCGGTAATAGTATCAACTTTTAGCTACGAAATGTTTTTTGGTTGGCAAATATCATTTTTTTGCGACCAAAATTTTCTTGGTCGGCAAAAGTGGTCGGCAAATATGTAAATTCTTATAGTGAAACCCTAACATTTATTTATTTTGATTTTGTTGGTGTTTATGTGTTGGAGAGATTGGTTGGGGATAAAGAAGTCATAAAGGTTGTGGAAAATAAAATCATTGTAGTAGAAGAAAAAGAAAAGATTTTAGCCATGCCAGCATGGGAATCCTGGCTCCACCATCACTTATGTGATGCAAATTAACAATAAATTGGCAAATAAAATAAAATAAAATAAAAATAAAATTGAATGTGGACAATGATATCATAGTATTTTTTGTTACAAGATTCAAGTTAGATCAAAATCTAGATTCTATGTACTTTTCACTTTTGCTCTTCTACATGATATGATCAAGATTTCATTGTAGATTTTCATTTCATAAGAGAAGGGATAGGGTTAGAACTCAATATACAAGAATAAAGAAAGAGTTCGTGACAAGAACATCAACAAGTTTTATTAGTGGCCCCATTTTAAATTTTTAAAAAATAAAAAATAAAAATATGTGATAAATCTTTTTGAGAAGCCAAGTTAGTAAAGGGTCCTCAGTAAGATTATTTTTAAGCCGGAAAGTAGATTATTTTTTGAATGTAACAAAAAATAAATTTGACATGAAAGTTAGACATTCAATTGATACGAAAGAAATACCATCATGTAACAGTAAAGAAATATAGTTAATTAAGAATACGAAGATACCCTTTAGTGGACTAACTTTTTTGTAATATTGAAAAAAAAAATGTGGTGTAAAAAAACAAACCTTTTATTGACTTAGTAAAAAGATTAAAAAAAAAGTAAACATTTCATTGGGACGTATTGTTTATTAGGGTTACTTTAATTTAAAAAGTAAAATAATTCTAAAAATTTACTAAGATTTAAAATTTATATTTGCTATCTAAAATTAGAATAGGATAATAACTATTTAATAACTACTCAATTCTTCGATAAGTTAAGTTGAATTTGTTTTTTTAAAAAAAGTAACGTGCTCAAAACATTGCATAGAAATTGATTGTTTATATTTTAAATCACATATTTAATGTTTTTATTTTGTTTCTTTAATGTATTTGTTTTGGAAAAGTTATCCCTCTGAGTATGTTGAGAAAATTATTACACATATATGGAAAAATTTATAATTTTAGTTATTAATATTGATAAAGTTTACTATTCATTTGTAATAATTTTTTAACTCATCATTTGTAAGTTGAAAAAATCAGTACACATATATGAAAAAGCTTACAATTTTAATTATTAATATTGATAAAATTTATGATTAATCTGTAATTATTTTTGAACTTTTAAACTGATTTGGATTTTTTCTTCTTCTTATTTATTATTATTTATTGTTTTTAAGTGAAAAGAATGAATGGGGCAATTGAAATCAATGCAAGCATCCATCAGCTGGAATGTAAATTGTCTTGGTAGTGGAATCTACACGTCCTTATAAACCTAAAAAGCTTTTATATGCATACACACGTATCGATGAAAATTGATGGATGATAGCAGAAATTGAATGGTTCCAATTACAGAGAAATATGACGTATGAAATATTGGCTATGTTTCGCATTCTCCTCTTGAATTAAAATAGTTTCACGAAGACAAAATAAGTTAAAAGTTAAGATAAAATGTTATATTTAAATTATAATTATTTTATTTTTTCTCTCATAAAAATTTAAAAAGTCAAAAAAATTCATTCTAAACGAGACTTTTTAATCCGTTCAAAAAAAAAAAAAAAAAAAAAAAAAAAAAAGAGACTTTTTAGTTTCAGGCTAAAATAGTCAAAAAATCAACCCACATCCCAAACAAAAGCAAAATATGTACGATTTAACTAAGTGCCTATATTGATGGAGGAGAAATGATAAAATTCATTATCCGTAACAAAGATAAGAAAGTTTTGGATACATTAACTTAGAACACTTCTATCGAATACTTCAAATCTGACGTGGCACTCCAACAATCAAATTTTGGCATTAAAGTATCAACCCCACCCAGTGTGTCAAAAGCTGATGTGGCTTTTGATATTAGTCCATGCCAATTTTGACATGAAGATTCCTTGATTATTATTATTTTTTTCAATTAAAAGAGTTTAAATTTTAAAATTAATATAATAATAGACTTGACATATCAGATAGCCTATGTCAAATTAGCATATGTCAATTTACCACCTAAACTTTCAAAAAAAAATTTGACATACCAAATTTTAAAAGTTTAAATGAAGATGCTCTTAACCATTTTATAACGCTGTTACATTCATTGAAACCCTAATTCAAAAATACATATACAACTTTGCTACATACTTTTACTAAATTACTAATTTTTTACCAATTACACACGGATGCAGATCCCACATCCATGTGTGATCATGCTCATCTGTGTAGTTGGCAAAATAAAAATAAAAATAAAAATAAATAATTAAGTAAGATTCGCTATCATTTTTTTAGAAATGTTTGAGACTCTTAAAATGCCTCCAATAATGAGATTAAAAAAAAAAATTAATCATAAAAGACTCAATTTCATTATCACATCATTGTGAGTAAATTTAAAAATTAAAATTGTGAGTCTTTGCAGCATTTCTAATCATTTCCATGCAACAAATACTTTTAAAATTTCACTTTGGGTGCTTTGCCGACTTCGCATAAGACCGGGTGAAGTATGATTGGCCTTTTACTCTATGCTTTAGCCTCGGTCTAACAACTTAGCTCTCCACCTTCATTAAAAACCCCTTACAACAAAAGACGAAAGACGACCGGTTGAAAAGAGTTATTTAGAATTTTTTTTGGTTATTTTAATCATAAAAGACAAAATAAATTATTTTAATTA